CTCTCTCTCTCTCTCTCTCTCTCTCTCTCTCTCTCTCTCTCTCTTTCTCTCTCTCTCTCTGTGTGTGTGTGTGTGTGTGTGTGTGTGTGTGTGTGCACAAGTTTGTATACATGCATGTGAAATCCAGAGGTTGGGCTCTGATGTCCTCCTCAATCATTTTCCACTTTCTTTTTTGAGACAGGATCTCTCACTGACGTTGGAGCTCACCGATTTGGCGAGACTTTCTGGCCAGCGAGTCTAAGTGAGCCTGCTACCTCCAGCTCTTCAGTTCTGGGACTACAGATGTGTGCTGCTGTGCCCGACTATTTACATGGATGCTTGGGCTCTTTTAGATCTTAATGCTTACATGGCACACTCTTCACCAACTGAGCTCTCTTCTGAGCCTTCATGTCCATCTTATAGAGAAAGAAATGCAACTGCAGAGAGAACTTGAAGTTGCTGATCGCCCTCCCATGGCCATCAGGTGCTGGCTTGTGCCGTTGGCTCCAGAGTTTCATAGGGCGACACTGAAACTGGGGGCGAAAACTGAAAATACTCGCCATACCTGTAAACCCTTTGGCAATGGAGTTCTACAGCATCTTTACGTCCTAATATTCTACGAGAAGCCCATTCTACTTACAACTGATGGTTATCCCGAGCTCCACGCTGTGCTTCTTAGGCAGTTTTACGTGAAATGTTCCACTACTTGGGATGACAGACTCTGTAATTTCAAAACAGGAAAACAGTGTTTACAGGACACGGAGGACACTGGGTATTGGGTAGGAACAGCCTTCCAAATTCAAACGTTTCCATCCTGGAGAGCTGCTCATTAAGACTCTGGAAGTTCTAACATGAAACATTCCATGAGAGGAGGAGGGCTCCTTTAGATTTGGTGGTAAACAACTCACAAGTCTCAGGAAGTCCCTGAAGCTTATAAGAAGGTCAAGGTCACTTGATTACTAAAGTTATATAAACAGTAAGAACTTTTGGGGAGAGAGGGGACTAGTCAGACCCATTGCTTTGTGTGACTGTTGTATAGTGAGGACTAAAGTTACAACTTTCGTGAGCTGTTACCATGCTGGGGTATGCTTTTCCAGCGCTCAGCTGTTTAGGAGCTGTCTATGCTCCAACTATGATATAACTAACCACTCACCCCTACTCCTGCAGGCAATCCCAATAAATTCGTCAGTTTTCCAACTTGGACTTGGGTAGATCTGTCATTGACGCTCTGTCTGGGATCTGTAACTGTTACTGAGATCATCAGGATCTCTACTTTATCTCTCTGGTGATTGCGATGTAGGTATCCCCCGCCTCACCTCTGCAGCAGTTCCTTTCTTCCCAATACCCTCAGCATCTCTTCTACTTTACTCCCAGGCAGCTGCAGCTTTCACATCCCCACCTCAGATCTCTAGCTGGCAGTCAGTCAGTAGCTCCTCTCTCCATCTGTCATCTCACTATTCTGTCCCAGTAGGTGTTCTCTGCGGGACACACAATTCTTTATCAATTCCCCTGGAATGAATTCAGTGATACCCCTAGACAAGCACCCCTCATCCAAAACCTTTGTAACAGTGTTGCTAGCAAAGGAAAGTGCAGAAGAGGAGGATCATGGGATGACCAGACTAGCCTACTCTTATTGCTTCATCCCTTCACTAAAGCTTGGCTCACCCTCCACTAGGCAAAGATCTAACTACAAAGGCTGGGATGCAGGTAGAACTATTGGGCCTCCAGATACCTAGCCCAGTTTGTTCACTGCATGTGTAACATATTTTTGCACAGCATAGGCAAAAGTTAGGACTGGGCTCATGGAAAAAAGTTAAGAGTCCTCCTTTTTTCATTCTGTCTTAAATTGTTCTTGGCCTTTTGTCCTTTCCCTTGAGAAGTTTAGCAGTAAACTTTTTACAAGCCCAGAATCTGATCTTCCAATTTGGAAGGTTCACCACAGAGCATTAAAGGAGAGAACACAATAAAAATTTGATTTCCCTCAGCCCCTCCGGGCTGCTAGGAAGTCACCTGTAAAAAAGACCCCCAAATTGCCCATCCGTTGCAGTGGTGAGGCATGGTCTTTTGTCCCAGCGTCCCTTTTCTGCTCTGTTCTTACTTCAGAGGGGTGAGTGAATCTGCTGACACACATAGTTCCTCTCAGGCTCTTAAAATCTCTCTGGGACCAGGTCAGTGTCACAGACTGACTCGGCACCTTCGCCTTCTGTACTCAAGGAACACGCTGATGTTCCAGGAAGTGGACCTGCATCCATTTAGTCATTTATTCATTAAGAATTTGCACATTTCCCACTTCCTAATGTTATAGTAAAGAACGGAACCCATCTCTAGTTAGAGACAAGCCTTAGGCACCACCTGCTTATGAGTTAATTCAGTCTGGCAGTTCAAGGACCTGGCTGGCTATGGGGGTCACCCCTTAGGAAGGTGAGTTCACTTTAAGATAATGTGCTTTCCCTTCCCAGAATTCTTGCCCCTTAGCGCAGTCTTTGTGAGGCATCCTGGAGTTCAGATGGGTCTGCCTATATTCCCGTGCTAATAGAAAGGCCTAACTATTCCTTTCTCTCCTCTTCTTAGATGTGAGCCAGAGCCTAAGTATGCTTTCTTACCCCCTAATGCTCTAGGCTTCCTTACCACTCTTCTAAAAGTCTCTCTTACCATGTGACTACCTGTCACCATGCAGCTAGTGTCCACGTCAACTTACCTCCTCCATTCTCCTCCCAGTATAGGAACTGCAGGGTTTATAGCTTGTGTGCTCTGGGGTTCTTATTTCAGACTCTAATAAACCGTATCCACCTTCTACTTTACTCCTGTGTTTTTCATTATTGAGATGGAGAACCCTAAGAGGGGACCCTTATTTTCCCAGGATCATATGCTAGCTCTCACAAGACTCCCTGAGATTGCCGGTAACATTTCCTTCCTACCTTTGAATTCTTCAATCAGCCAAGAATATGAACCATTCCTGCCCTCCTAGACAGCACCATGAAGGAGGCTTGAGGCAGGCATAATTATTCAGTCAAGCAATAGACTTAAAAAAGACCAGCTAATTTTGATACACTGGGGCAGAAGGAGAAATGAAATTAATAATTACGTTTTACTTTCTGATATCAGATCTGTCTGGGCATATCATAATTATGTTTCAAGTATTTCTCCTTTTCTTGCCTTTCCTTCCTTCCTTCCTTCCTTCCTTCCTTCCTTCCTTCCTTCCTTCCTTCCTCCCTCCCTCCCTCCCTCCCTCCCTCCCTTCCTTCCTAAGTCTTGATCATTTAATATTGTAACAACAGAAGAAACTGTCTTTCCATTTCCCAAGAGAGCATTGAAGAACTTGGAGTTAACAGGAAAAACGGAAGTGTTGGGTTTTGAAGGGGCTGCATTTTACCCACTTGCACCAAAGGCTGGTCTGCAGAAAAAAGCAAGAAATAAACGTGTGTGCACAAGGAGCAAACAGGATCTTGGAGAGTGCTACGCTTAGGCACATCTGATCGGAGCCCCTCAGGACCGTGAAAGCGTATGCTTCCAGAAAACCTCCCCTTTTGCCTAAACCAGCTGGATGCATTTCTGATGCAGCAACAGAAAGATGAAAACCCTGATGCAAGAGAGACGACGGCATGGGAGCAAGCCGAAGTCTGCCATCCAACTGCTCACAGGCACAGCCAGAATACTCGATTTAATTGCTTAGAGAAAGCCAGCCAGCAGTCCTTAAGAGTGCATGGAGTTACATTATTTAGGATCCATCTCAGATATGGGAGGCTGTTTTCATTTCTCTATTTTAAGACAAGAAAAAAAAGGTTCTCAGAAAATGGAGAGGTACACATATGTTTTTATTTCTGCCTCTGTGTATGTGTCTAACTCCCACAAGTGGAGACTTGGAGTCACAGAGTCCAGGGAACACTGACCAAGAATAGTTGCTACTGCAACTCTTGGTTTCATAACATTTAAAACTTTTTTTGTATGGTGTTCCTCTCTCCTCCCTCTCTCCCTCTCTTCTTCCTCCTCTTCTCTCCCTCTCCCTCTCCCTCCCCCCCCCCATCTCTGTGGTACATATGTAGAAGTCAGAGGGTAACCTTTGGGAGTTGGTTCTCTCCTATCATGTAGGCTCTGGATCTTGAACTCAGGCTTGGTAGCAAGCACCTCTATCCACTAAATCATCTGGCTTGTTTGCTTTTATAAAATTTTAGTGCAGGGAATGATGACCATGAGTAACACCATTCATGACATGAGAGGACGTATTGTGACTTCCTGGAACACAGTAATGGATCACTTTTGACTATATGTGATTTGAAAAATTCACCATGGCAAATGAGCATCAACTAATGGATCTCTTTGATCAAGCTGTGGCTTCATTTTAATCTTTCCATGCCAGTGTGATTTATTTTATAGTTGGTATTTTCCCCATATAATTATTTGGTTGTTAAAGCAAAGGCATATTTAATTTGCGGTTCATAAACAAATGCTGTTAATGAGAAGGTTCCATTGTTTGGACAAACAACAACAGGTTTAGTGTTGGTGGATATAATTTTGAAAACAAATGATGTTTATTTTGTAAGACCCTTGTGATTATTTTGCACTTCCCTGGTTTTGCTTCATCTTTGTTAAAACCATAATTAAAAACACATTTGGGGAAAAAGGGTTCCTTCTTTCCCATTGGTCTGATTTTCTGCCTGAAGCATTCATTCTCGGCACAGTAAGATAACTGCCAGGACCTAATTTATCAGCCTGGGCACCCTGTGAAGAGTGTAAATGTTGAACGCTCCCCTACTTCGATGAACACACCGGGGCTCTGGTTGGTGGCCAACAGCACTTCGTAGGCTCTGCACCGAGACGTCTCAGAACAAATGCCTTCAGAGCTGAAGTGGGAACTTGGAGACCTTGTGGTATTGGCCATATAGATTGTCATTTAAAAGAATGGAAATCAGCAAACTGGAAGAAGATGAGGTTCTAGCTTCATAAAATTTTACGTATGGTAAAGGATTCCAGTAGAAGAACTGGAATGGTGATGGTGTCATCTTCAACTTCAGATACCTCACTATTCACCTCGCTAAGGTGTTTGCACAGCATCGTGTGTTGAGAGAGGAAGACTTAGGCAAGAGTGTGTTCACTTTTAACCACCTCTCTGTCATTTAAAATATTTATTAAGTAAAGATAGCCGAGCACTGAAAGTTCAGGGCTGGAACATTCATCTTGATGTGTAAAATATTTGGAGGCAGAACACTGGAAATGCATGGCTTGCATCCAGGCAATTAGGCATGACTCCAGAAGGACAGGGCAGTCTGGACAGGGCCTGCATCTGCACGCTCCCTATCCGGGCCCAAGTTCTTAGATGACTAAAAAGGATTTGCCTGTTTCTAAAAGTTCCCAGTGATGATTCCAGTAGATCAGGGATGATTACCTGTAGTGCCTTCCTGAGGGTTTTAAGGCTGCATCTGCATCCATCAAAAGAACAGTGTTATCAATTAGTGATGTCTGCCATGAGCAAAGACAGAGGGGTAACACATCGCCCCCCCCCCTCAGCCTGTAGATGACCTGGAATATCTATTTTGTGACCTTTATTAAACAAGCTGGGTACTGAAAAAAAAAAAGTAGGCTTAATCGATAGAGTTCCTATTTTTCCGGAGCTTAAAGTTATTAAAGTATTAAATCAACAAACATTAAAAATATATATATGCACATACATTAAGGATGCATGAGACACCAAACAAAATTCCAGGATATACAAAATAAAATACA